AGAGACACACGTACATGCAGAGACACACGCACATGCAGAGATACACGCGCAGACGCTCACACACGCAGAGACACACGTACATGCAGAGACACACGCACAGACGCACACACATGCAGAGATACACGTACATGCAGAGACACACGTACATGCAGAGATACACGCACATGCAGAGATACACGTACATGCAGAGACACACGCACAGACGCACACGCAGACGCACGCACATGCAGAGACACACGCACATGCAGAGATACACGTACACGCAGAGACACACGCGCAGACGCACGCACATGCAGAGACACACGCACATGCAGAGATACACGCACACGCAGATACACGTGCATGCAGAGATACACGTACATGCAGAGATACACGTGCAGACGCACGCACATGCAGAGATACACGTACATGCAGAGATACACGCACAGACGCACACACATGCAGAGATACACGTACATGCAGAGATACACGCGTACATGCAGAGACACACGCGCAGACGCACACACATGCAGAGATACACGCACATGCAGAGACACACGCACAGACGCACACACATGCAGAGATACACGCACATGCAGAGACACACGCACAGACGCACACACATGCAGAGACACACGTACATGCAGAGACACACGCACAGACGCACACACATGCAGAGATACACGTACATGCAGAGATACACGCACATGCAGAGACACACGTACATGCAGAGATACACGCACATGCAGAGATACACGCACATGCAGAGACACACGCGCAGACGCACGCACATGCAGAGATACACGTACATGCAGAGATACACGTACATGCAGAGACACACGTACATGCAGAGACACACGCGCAGACGCACACACATGCAGAGATACACGTACATGCAGAGACACACGCACAGACGCACACACATGCAGAGACACACGCACATGCAGAGACACACGCACAGACGCACACACATGCAGAGATACACGTACATGCAGAGATACACGCACATGCAGAGACACACGTACATGCAGAGATACACGTACATGCAGAGACACACGTACATGCAGAGACACACGCACAGACGCACACACATGCAGAGATACACGTACATGCAGAGACACACGTACATGCAGAGATACACGTGCATGCAGAGATACACGTGCATGCAGAGATACACGCACATGCAGAGACACACGTACATGCAGAGACACACGCACATGCAGAGATACACGCACATGCAGAGACACACGTACATGCAGAGACACACGTACATGCAGAGACACACGCACAGACGCACACACATGCAGAGATACACGTACATGCAGAGATACACGTACATGCAGAGACACACGCACAGACGCACACGCAGACACACGCACATGCAGAGACACACGTACATGCAGAGATACACGTACATGCAGAGATACACGTGCAGACGCACGCACATGCAGAGATACACGTACATGCAGAGATACACGTACATTCAGAGACACACACACATGCAGAGACACACGTACATGCAGAGATACACGTACATGCAGAGATACACGTACATGCAGAGATACACGTACATTCAGAGACACACATACATGCAGAGACACACGTACATGCAGAGATACACGTACATGCAGAGACACACGCACATGCAGAGATACACGTACATGCAGAGACACGCGTACATGCAGAGACACACGCACATGCAGAGATACACGCACACGCAGACGCACGCACATGCAGAGATACACGCACATGCAGAGACACACGCACACGCAGAGATACACGCACATGCAGAGACACACGTACATGCAGAGACACACGTACATGCAGAGACACACGTACATGCAGAGACACACGTACATGCAGAGACACGCGCAGACGCACGCACATGCAGAGATACACGTACATCCAGAGATACACGTACATTCAAAGACACACGTACATGCAGAGACACACGTACATGCAGAGACACACGTACATGCAGAGACACACGTACATGCAGAGATACACGTACATGCAGAGATACACGTACATGCAGAGACACGCGCAGACGCACGTACATGCAGAGATACACGTACATTCAGAGACACACACACATGCAGAGACACACGTACATGCAGAGATACACGTACATGCAGAGACACACGCACATGCAGAGACACACGTACATGCAGAGACACACGCACATGCAGAGACACACGTACATGCAGAGACACACGTACATGCAGAGACACACGCACATGCAGAGATACACGCACATGCAGAGACACACGTACATGCAGAGACACACGTACATGCAGAGACACACGTACATGCAGAGACACACGTACATGCAGAGACACACGCACATGCAGAGATACACGTACATGCAGAGATACACGTACATGCAGAGACACGCGCAGACGCACGCACATGCAGAGATACACGTACATGCAGAGATACACGTACATGCAGAGACACACACATGCAGAGATACACGTACATGCAGAGACACACGCACATGCAGAGATACACGTACATGCAGAGACACACGTACATGCAGAGATACACGTACATGCAGAGATACACGTACATGCAGAGACACACGTACATGCAGAGATACACGTACATGCAGAGACACACGCGCAGACGCACGCACATGCAGAGACACGCGCAGACGCACACACATGCAGAGACACACGTACATGCAAAGACACACGTACATGCAGAGACACACGCACATGCAGAGATACACGTACATGCAAAGACACACGTACATGCAGAGACACACGTACATGCAGAGACACACGTACATGCAGAGATACACGCACATGCAGAGATACACGCACATGCAGAGACACACGCACATGCAGAGATACACGCACATGCAGAGATACACGTACATGCAGAGACACACGTACATGCAGAGATACACGTACATGCAGAGACACGCACAGACGCACACACATGCAGAGATACACGTACATGCAGAGACGCACGCACATGCAGAGATACACGTACATCCAGTGACACACGTACATGCAGAGACACGCGCAGACGCACGCACATGCAGAGATACACGTACATGCAGAGACACACGTACATGCAGAACACGTACATGCAGAGACACACGTACATGCAGAGATACACGTACATGCAAAGACACACGTACATGCAGAGACACACGTACATGCAGAGATACACGCACATGCAGAGACACACGCACATGCAGAGACACACGCACATGCAGAGATACACGTACATGCAGAGACACACGCACATGCAGTGACACACGTACATGCAGAGACACACGTGCAGACGCACACACATGCAGAGATACACGTACATGCAGAGACACACGTACATGCAGAGACACACGCACAGACGCACACACATGCAGAGATACACGTACATGCAGAGACACACGCACATGCAGAGATACACGCACAGACGCACACGCAGACGCACGCACATGCAGAGACACACGCACATGCAGACGCACACGCAGACGCACGCACATGCAGAGACACACGTACATGCAGAGATACACGCACACGCAGAGATACACGCACATGCAGAGATACACGCACATGCAGAGATACACGCACACGCAGACGCACGCACATGCAGAGATACACGCACATGCAGACACACGCGCAGATGCACGCACATGCAGAGACACAGAATTGCTTAATAAACATTTATTTTGTTTATTTGTATTTTATTAGTATTTTCCTTAAGTGTGTCAAATATATATTTTCTCATCTAAATGTCCACTGAGCTGTGAGCCAGGGGGCGGTAATGCCCCTTAACATTGGTTGCCAACCATGAAGAAGAAGAAGCTGTGAGCCAGGAGGGAGGGGGTGAGTGAGTCCTGAGTGATTCGTTCGCTCTAAGATTCAGCACAGGAAGGGAGGGGGTGAGTAGCTCAAATGTGTTGTTAGCATGTTAGCAGCGCGATGCTACTCTGAACCGAGGAGCTATTTTCTTGATGTGAGCTTCTACTCAGGGTTTTTTCTTCCAGTTCAGAGCAGAAATGCTTTTGTTACGAAACTGGCTGTTGTTTTTCCCCCCACAATTTTAATTATAAGCTAGATATATTTCTACTAATGGAATTAGTTTGCTAACAGCAACAGGGATGAGTCAGTGAGTCAGTTGGGCTTGTGAATCATGATTCACGAGTCAGTAAAGTGATTCTCGAGTACTGAACGATTCGTTCACGAATCGAACATCACTACTGTGTAGCATCCCTGCTTCCATAATGGTCTGTGAGCTAAGGAGGATTCTCAACAGTCCCAGCTCTTCTCTTTGTCTTTTTCATTTCATAAGGCTCTAAATGTTCTCAGGTGGTGAAAGGTCTGGACTGCAGGGAGGCCAGTTCAGAAGCAATGCTGTTCTAATAGCTGCAGTATTCAAATATGAAGGCCTTCATTTTTGTTTTTCATACCTAGTTGTAGTTTTTTAGTTTAGTTGTGGTTAACTAATATAACTGTGACGTGTCATTAAAGCAATCTTATTCTAAAATTGTTCTATTGTTCTTTACACAATGATGCTGCTGACCTGTTACCAGTTAACATGATTAGCTGCAGCTGTTTCTTTTGAGTTGTCCAGCATTTCGTGACCCTGACCTAACTTTGTTGTTTTGTTGCCTTCAAATTTAGTATGTGCTCATATTGTTCATGAAATATAAAAACCTCTCAATGGAAATATGATATGTTTATGTTTTGATAAAATATGTATTGATGAAGCCTAAAAATAATCACATTCTGTTTTACATTTACGTTTTACACAGTGTCCTGATGTTTTTGGGTATAAAGAAGGGCTGCAAAAAGTACTCAGCAGAATGATTGCCTGCCATTCATTTGAATTGTTTCTGACATGTTGTGATTTTCCTGGAGTATATGACTTAAAAGAGCTTATATGTACCTATATCACTTCCCAAAGCAAAGCTGTCCAGGTCTACACAAATCATTACAACATCATTGGCTTTAACATGTAACATGCAGTCATCCTGTCATGTCTCAACATCTGTTTCTCTTGAAAAGGAGAGAATTTGCTGATCTGCTAGAGAAATATGGATCTAATGGCAGCACTGGATCAACACGGAACTCTCCGATCCAGCAAGGTAGGGATGTTTCTGCTTAGCTCTGCTTGGTGATTTCCACTTTCATTTTCATTTCTTTCTTAATAGAAAGCTGTTGCTGCATTTGCATTAGAACAAAGTGTTTTTGTCATGCACGTGACACAGTATTGCTGTAATAATGTGTTTGCATGTAGAGAAGCATGTTTTTCTCTGCCCCTCTGCTTTGGATGAAGACAACACGGTACAGTCTTTGCAGTAGATCAAACTGCCTTCCTGACAGAGACAAAACAGCTTTTCTCTGTTATGTCTCTGTCAGAAAGCTCAGTCATTAGGTAACAATAATCAATAGACTGAGAAGTCACTTTCTGATGGACTTTTTTCATTAAGGCCATTTGTTTCCATGCTCCCTAGGAACACCATACTCTGTTTGTGCCGGGTGGACTGATTTTTACTGCTGCATGTTTTGGGGTTTAAAAGCCACAGAGATGCATCTTTTAGAGAAAATCAACTGCTGCAATACTCCTGACACATACAGGCTCACTACAGGTTTTCGCTTGGGCAGCGGTTGTCCTTCTCTCCTGGATCGGCTGGAGCTTTCTTTAGGAGCCTTCCCAGCTTTGACAAAAGTCCAGCTGGGATAACCACATTTACTCAGGGCCTTCTTGATGTTCTTCTGCCTCCCTGGCTGCTGTGTCAGTGGGGATGGTGTTCGCTCTGTGTTGTAGCGTCCGTATGTGTAGGTTTACGGTACACATCAGCTTTTAGATGTCCCCCATTACTGATGGAAATCTTGCAGTCTAAGAAGGCTAACCTGCCACTTTTCATATCCTCCCTGGTGAATTTGATGTGTCGGTCCACTGAGATGATGTGATCTAGTAAATTGTGGTAAGTCCTGAGATTCAATTTTCACCCTGGTGTCATCCACATACCTGAACCAATGACTTGATGGTGTTTGGTGGTTGTGGTTTGGATTAACATGCAGCTTTTCAACAGTGCTGTCCGTTTCTTAGGGAGCCTGGTTAGCAGTCACACCATGGAAACAGTGGAAAATGGCCTTAAAGTCCATGAGAAAGTCATGTCTCACTCTATTGATTATGCAAATATTATTTTATTATTATTTGGTATTATTTTCCTGATCAGTTTGTGTTTAAAAAGTATACTTTCAGATATTCTTCAAACTGTTGTCCAATTTCTAAAGCAAAGACCAACATGACCTTTAACATTTGAAAACGAAAATAGAAAACAACCGTTCTATTTTAGTCAGAGTACTCTGCCTATAGGCAGGAAGGAGTAAGTCGACCTTAAAATGCCTTACGACAAGTGCACATTTACCAACATCTGTTTGACTTGGAGAGGAGGCAGCCAGCTGCTGCAGAGCTGTTAAACAGAGCTCCAGCATGTGAGCAGTGCTGCTGACACATCAGGCTTCAGCTCCAGAATAAAGAGAGATAGCACTATAATGTGGTTTGCATTAAGAATTGTTAGTATGGATGGTTCACAGGAATATACTGCAAGAGCCTGAAAATCTCTCTAGAGACACAAGAACAGCGAGAAAAAGATCCTCACTAACAGCAGTGATGAGCTGGTCCATGCTGTTGGCTTTGCTGCTGTAGGCTGCATGGACCACTCCTCACTTGGTGTAAAAACACTTGTTTATGAGGAGAAATTTGATTGTGAGGTGTCTGGTGTGCTAATCTAAACAGCCCTCACTGATGCTAAAACATTGCACTGAGGTCTTTAAGCTAGGGTTCAAGTACAAACTAGAAGAAAAATAACGTTCTAAAAACAGGGAACACTTTGTTATATGCGTAGTATGAGACCAGTTTGCTCGTGTTAAATATTTATAGGAATTAAGAGCGACTCAAGTAGAAATAATGTTCTAAAAGGAAAAAATGCAAAATGGGGCAATTTAATGAAGACATACTACGAGACAACTTTTATGGAAATTAATTTAAAAAGAGCAAACTGACTAAGACGTGATCCTGATTTTTGCAGAGAAAATTGAGAGTAGAGAGCAGGTGGAAGAGAGCCTTAAGAGGTGGAGGTATGCTCTGGAGACTGGACTAATGAAAGTCTGTACGAGCCAGACAGAATACTGGAGTATGGAGGGAGATGGGTGGAAAGGTCACCATGAAGGTGCAAAGGTAGTGAGTTTAAATACAGGGATCAAGCATCCAAAGCAACAGGCAGTGAGGTGGAGTGGGTGGAAGTGAGTTCAGGGGTTTGGGATGGTTTTGGAAACAAGCAGAGGAGGGAGAGTGGATATATCGGACAAAGGAAGCTGAAGATGAAGCTGCTAGGCAGGAGGAAAAGAGGAAGACCTCACAGACTCATGCATGTAGTGAAGGAGGATATCCCGAGGGCCGGTGTGACAGAGGAGGATGCTGGGATAGGGTGAGATGGAGGCAGATGATCTGCTGTGTGCTAAAGGGAGCAGCTGAAAGTCTGGACTGCTAACTGCCCTTTCCTAAAATAACTGTAATCTGGGTTATCTCTCTCATGTAATTTTTGTTTGTTTGTTTTTCAAATCCAAAGGAGGTCGCTACCTGGATAGCACATCATCCGGTTCCTCGTCACGCTCCCAGAGTCCTTTGCTGTTGAGCCCAGCAGGCTCTCAGAGTATGTACAACAACAGTGGGCCCATGCTGCGCTCCCTCAGGTAAGAGTTCATATTTAATACAGGCTCACTGTCAACCCGACCATCAAGAAGTCTTGGAGCTAAAATAATGAGTTCTGGTTGGTTAGGTTGGGATGAACAAAGTGGTTGAAAGTGAACCACTTTTCATTAAGGGAAGATGTCAGCAGGGCTAATGTAATTAAAGTCAGAAGATCTTAATAATGAAACAAGAAAATAAAAAGAAAATCTTATCTGTGTTTTGGGAAGCTGCAGGACTTTTTCCAGATTGTTTAGGCTCCATTCACACAAGGAAAGCTGTGACTGGAGACAGAAATGACAAAACTCTTCCACAGATCATGACAGAGCTGCTGGTTTATGTAGGGATAAACCCAGAATATAACCAGCTGATCTGAGTAGCCCCTACTGCAAAGAGACACATTGCAGATGAATTGCACTTATCTGTGATCAGTCTCAGTCTGTCTGAGTTCAAATTCCTGTGTATGATGTGTACGTATGGTTTTTGACAACAAAGCTTTGACTCTGATGTATACCAATGCTCTAACTGCCTCTGCCATGATGGACACATGTTCTTTGGATCACGTTCTCCTTTCTGTTCTCCTTCAAACGTTGTGATCAGAGTTCATCCTGGTTTCATCTGTCCAAAGACATTGTTTTTCCATTTCGAGAGCAAAGTCTTGTTTCTGTCAAAGTCTAATCTGGCCTCCAGTGTAACCTGTGGTTTGCACCTTGTTGTATTTCATTCATTCATCTCTTGATTGTACACTGTTGCCAATGATACACCTAAATCCTCGAGTGAGTCCCTGAACTATGTTAAGCTGTTTTTCTTAACCATGGAACTACTTCTGCCATTATCCACTCTTGAATCTTGCGATCAGCCTTTATTGTGTTATTTGCATCATTTCCCTGTGTTTCTGTCCAAAGGCTTATACGTTAGGTTGATCTCATTCTAAATTGGCTATAGGTGTGGACTCAAGCTAAATAAAAACCCTCCGAGTTGCCAGTAACACTGGACGCAATTTTAGTTCTTGTCTTCCACCCAGCTGTTAGAAGCAGGTCCTGTAAGTTGAGGTGTACCACAGACCCCTTTTCCTAACTTCCAGAATTGATTATCCGTGTCTTTGTGTTCTTAGTCATCCAGGTGAAGGGGTGATTCAACTTATTTCAATAGCACGATCCGGCAGTCTAGGCATCACCATTGGAGGAGGTTCCAACAGGCCTGACGGCCCTGCAGTCTTCATCCAGGAGGTCCTGTCAGGAGGAGACTGTCACCGGGTAAGAAAAGAGGAAAGCAGCCTCAAATAAACCTAAAGTGCAATGAGAGGGAAAGATGAGCGGTGTGATGAAGTGGAAGACATGCCATCATGGAGTAAAGCCTTTGCTTATTTAAATCGCAGTTTGTGTTACAGTTTGTGTTAGCTAAAGGTCCTATCACCTTTCTTTTTACACAAACTGCAGAACAAGACGTACAAACTACACTTACAGCTAACAAATCTCCTACAGTGAGACTTTGCCATCATCTTTGTCAACATTCAGTTTCAGCATGCTTGCTTGAGCCCTCACTCCTTGATCTCTGAGTGGAAGGCCATGAGATAACTGAATGAAACATGAGTAGAGAGGAAGAGGAGAAATGAAGCACCGTTTAATCTCCTTTTCCTCGCTCTTCCGCTTTCCTCATGCTTTATCCATAAGAATAAGAAAGAAGAAATTGAGGCGTGCATATGCAGACTAGTCATAAAGTGTTTTGAGCGGATAGTGTCTCAGCAAATCAGAGACTGTACCCCGTCCCTTGACCCCCACCAGTTTGCTTGCTGTGCAAATTAGTCCATGGAGTATGTTGTTCCCATCACCCTTCAGAGAGCGCTGAGCCATTTGGAGAACAGGAAGCACTACATGAGGATGCTCTTCTTTGACTACAGCTCAGCCTTCAACACCTTACTACCAGACATCCTCACCACCAAACTGATCCAAACTGATATGGAGTTCCACAGGGTTCATTGCTAGGACTAGTTCTTGGAGATCATTTTTCTGAATTTCAGGAGCAGGACCTTCACACACACCCCTTCTTTGTCTATACATGACCCCCTTCTCCCCCACTATAAGCTGTTCGTTCGTGTTTTCTTTCTCTCATTGTTTACTAGAAATGCTGTCAAACCTAAAATGAGTATGTGGTCCCGGCTAGTAAATGTCTACATTATACATGCTTCCCTGAGACAGTAACATTAGAAGGCATAACATAACTTCTAAATTCAGATCAAACTGAGGTTATTGTACTCAGCCCTGAAAATCTTAGAAATATGGTATCTAACCAGATTCTTACTGTGGATGGCATTACATTGGCCTCCAGTAACACTGTGAGGAACCTTGAAGTCATTTTTGACCAGGATATGTCCTTCAATGCACATATTACACAAATATGTAAGACTGCTTTCTTCCACCCCTCTGAGAATGAGAATATCGTGGTGGAGGGGTTTGTGTGTCCCAGGGATCCCAGGGGCTATGTTGTCTGGGAGCTTTTGTCCCCTGGTAGGGTCTCCCATGGCAAATTGGTCCTGGGTGAGGGACCAGACAAAGAGCGATTCAGAAGACCCCATCAAGGGAACAGTTCACCCTGCCCGCGATGGGGTTACCGGGGCCCTGCCCTGGAGCAAGGCCCGGGGAGGGTGCCCGAGGGTGAACGTCTGGTGGCCGGGCATTAGTCCATAGGGCTCGGCCGGGCACAGCCCGAAAAAGGGACATGGGCCCATCTTCCTGCAGGCCCACCACCCGCAGGAGGTGCCGTAGGGGTCGGGTGCAAAGTGAGCCGGACGGTGGCCAGGAGCGGAGGCCCTGGCGGACCGATCCCTGGCTTCCAAGACTGGCGATTGGGACATGGAATGTCACCTCTCTGGTGGGGAAAGAGCCCGAGCTAGTACGTGAGGTTGAGAGGTACCGGCTAAATATAGTCGGGCTCACCTCAGCGCATGGCCTGGACTCTGGAACCAGTCTCCTGGAGAGGGGCTGGACTCTGTCTCAGTCTGGAGTTGCCCCTGGTGAGAGGCGTCGGGCTGGGGTGGGTATCTTGGTATCCCCTCGGCTTGCTGCTGGTATGTTGGGATTTCTCCCAGTGGACGAGAGGGTTTGTTCCCTTCTGTGCTTATGCGCCGAGTGGCAGTTCAGAGTACCCAGCCTTATTGGAGTCCCTGAGTGGGGCACTGGAGGGTGCTCTTCCTGGGGACTCTGTTGTCCTACTGGGAGACTACAATGCTCACATGGGCAACAACAGTGAGACCTGGAAGGGTGTGATTGGGAGGAACGGCTTCCCAGATCTTAACCTGAGGAGGTGCCGTAGGGGTCGGGTGCAAAGTGAGCCGGACGGTTTGCACAGAAGTCTTTGTTATTGGACTTCTGTGCAAACCACAGTTTGGCCATAACGAACACCATGTTTGTACATAAGAGTTTCCATAAGTGCACGTGGCACCAGGACACTCTAGGCCACAGGTCGATGATTGATTTTGTAATTGTATCACCAGACCTGAGGCCATATGTTCTGGACACTCGTGTAAAGAGAGGGGCTGAGCTGTCAACTGATCACCACCTGGTGGTGAGTTGGATTAGGTGGCAAGGGAGGACGCTGGACAGACCTGGCGCGCCCAAACGTACAGTGAGGATGTGCTGGGAATGTCTAGCAGAGGCCCCAGTCCGCGACATCTTCAACGCACACCTCCGGCAGAGCTTCAACAACATGCCGAGGGAGACTGGGGACATTGAGCCCGAATGGACTATGTTCAGCATCTCCATTGCCGAAGCCGCTGCATGGAGCTGTGGCCGCAAGGTGGTTGGTGCCTGTCGCTTTGGTAAACCCCAAACCAAATGGTGGACACCTGAGGTGAGGGGAGCCACCAACCTGAAGAAGGAGTCCTACCGGGCTTGGTTAGCCTGTGGGCAGCTGATAGGTACCGACAGGCCAAGTGGAATGCAGCGCGGGCAGTGGTGGAAGTAAAAACTTGGGTGTGGGAGGAGTTCGGAGAGACCATGGAAAAAAACTTTCGGACTGTCTCAAAGAGATTCTGGCAAACCGTCAGGTGACTCAGGAGGGGAAAGCGGTGTTCCAACTGCACTGTGTGTAGTGCTGGTGGAGCGCTGCTGACTTGGACTGAGAAAATTGTCGGGCGGTGGAAGGAATACTTCGAGGACCTCCTTAATCCCACTGGCACGTCTTCCGTGGCGGAAGTTTGGGGACGAGGGGGATGACAGCCAATATCTGAGGTCGAGGTCACGGAGGCAGTTAAACAACTCCTTGGTGGCAGAGCCCCTGGGGTGGATGAGGTCTGCCCCGAGTTCCTGAAGGCTCTGGATGTTGTAAGGCTGTCTTGGTTGACACATCTCTGCAATGTTGCCTGGGGATCAGGGGCAGTACCTGTGGACTGGCAGACCGGGGTGGTGGTGGTGTTTTGTGGACTTGGAGAAGGCATTCGACCGTGTCCCTCGGGGGGGTCCTGTGGGGGGGTGCTCTGGGAGTATGGGGTGTCTGGCCCATTGCTATGGGCCATTCAGTCCTTATACGACCACTGCAAGAGCTTGGTTCGCATAGCCGGCAATAAGTTGGACTCGTTCCTGGTGGGTGATGGGCTCCGCCAGGGCTGCCCTTTGTCTCCGGTTCTGTTCATAATTTTTATGGACAGAATTTCTAGGCGTAGCCAAGTGGCGGAGGGCTTTCACTTCGGTGGTCTCAGAATCTCATCTCTGCTTTTTGCAGATATTGTGGTTCTGTTGGCTTCATCAGGTGATGGCCTCCAGCTCGCACTGGAACAGTTCGCAGCCGAGTGTGAAGCGGTGGGAATGAGAATCAGCACCTCCAAATCTGAGGCCATGGTCCTCAGCTGGAAAAGGGTGGAGTGCCCACTCCAGGTCGGGGATGAAACCCTGTCCCAAGTGGAGGAGTTCAAGTATCTCGGGGTCTTGTTCGCGAGTGATGGGAGAAGGGAGCGGGAGATCGACAGACGTATTTGTGCAGCGGCTGCAATGATCCGGATGCTGTACCGGTCCGTCGTGGTGAAGAGAGAGCTGAGTATAAAAGTGAAGCTCTCAATTTACCGGTCGATCTACGCCCTTACCCTCACCTATGGTCACGAGCTGTGGGTAGAGACCGAAAGAACGAGATCGTGGATACAAGCGACAGAAATGGGCTTCCTCCGAAGGGTGGCTGGCCTCTCCCTTAGAGATAGGGTGAGAAGTTCGGCCATTTGGGAGGGGTTTAGAGTAGAGCCGCTGCTCCTCCACATCGAAAGGAGCCAGCTGAGGTGGTTCGGCCATCTGACAAGGATGCCCCCTGGGCGCCTCCTGGGTGAGGTTTTCTGGGCATGTCCCACCGGGAGGAGACCCCGGCGCAGATCCAGGACACGCTGGAGAGATTATATCTCTCGGCTGGCCTGGGAACGCCTTGGTTTTCCCCCAGATAAGCTGGAAGAGGTGGCTGGGGAGAGGGAGGTCTGGGCTTCTCTGCTTAGGCTGCTGCCCCCGCGACCCAGCCCCGGATAAGCGGAAGAAAATGGATGGATGGATGGATGGATGGATGGGTGCTTTCTTCCATTTGTGCAACATCTCTAAAGTTAGAAATATCCTGTCTCAGAGTGACGCTGAAAAACTAGTTCATGCATTTATTACTTCCAGGCTGGACGACTGTGATTCATTATTATCAGGAAGTCCTAAAACTCCCTGAAAAGCCTTCAGCTAATCCAAAATGCTGCAGCAAGAGTCCTGACAGGGACTAGAAAGAGAGAGCAGATTTCTCCTGTTTTGGCTTCCCTTCATTGGCTTCCTGTTAAATCCAGAATTCAAAATCCTGCTCCTCACATACAAGGTCTTAAATAATCAGGCCCCATCTTATCTTAATGACCTTGTAGTACCATATCACCCTATTAGAGCACTTCGCTCTCGCTCTGCAGGCCTACTTGTTGTTCCTAGAGTATTTAAAAGTAGAATGGGAGGCAGAGCCTTCAGTTTTCAGGCCCCTCTTCTGTGGAACCAGCTTCCAGTTTGGATTCAGGAGACAGAAACTATCTCTACTTTCAAGATTAGGCTTCAAACTTTCCTTTTTGCTAAAGCATATAGTTAGGGCTGGACCAGGTGACCCTGAATCCTCCCTTAGTTATGCTGTAATAGGTGTAAGCTGCTGGGGGACTCCCGTGATGGATTTTTCCTGCTCTCACCCTTTCTCACTCATCACCTGTTTATACACCTCCCTGCATTTCATCATTAGTTATGATTCATATCTGTCTCTCTTCCTCAGCTTGTCTTTCTCTCCTCTCCCCTATCTGGTCCCCGCCCCTCCCTGAGCCTGGTTCTGCTGGAGGTTTCTTCCTGTTAAAAGGGAGTTCTTCCTTCACACAATTGCCAAAGCACTTGCTCATTAGGGGGTCATCATCATTGTTGGAATTTTCTTTGATTTGTCTGTATTATTGATCGTGCCTTACAGAACAAAGCGCCTTGAGCCAACTGTTGTTATGATTTTGTGCTATATGAATAAAATTGAATTGGATTGAACTGAAATACATGTTGCAGTTATGTTCCTGCAGTTGAAAAGAGCTGATAATGACTAGACTTGGATAAGTACTTTGATTCTTAGAAGTGGCCCTGACAGTTTATTGTACTTTTAAATAAGGAGAAACAGGGCTTGTAGCCTCCTGCTCAGTGGGAATAAAACTGTCTCCCTGTTGTGCAGGATGGACGGTTGAGACCGGGAGATCAGCTCATTGCTATTAACAAGGAGTCCTTGATTGGTGTGACACATGAAGAGGCCAAAAGCATGCTAAACAAAGTGAAATTCAGGTGAGTGGTGTTCATGTTAGAAATGAATGTACCAAAGTAAGTCTAGTGTGGAACAATGAGCCAGTGTATACACAGTGCTACAGTATAAGCAGTTTTGATCTTAGTGTCTGTGTGTTTTTGGACATTGACATGATTTCTTTGTTATTTTTACTGTTTTCCAACACATATTAAGTTAGAGTCAGATAATGAATGTTTTCCCAGTTTCAGTTTCAAGATATACCAAACAAAAGTACTGCAGTACCCACTGAAACAGAGTTATTCCTACACACAGGGTTAGACAGCTGACAGATGCAGGCAGGATAGATTTTCAAAGCTTCCTCATAAAGAAATAAGATCCAAGGTCTGGAACTGACTCCAAGTGTGACACCTGCAGTTGGAAGCACAGAGCATAAAGTCAAAAGACATCTCAGTACAATAGAATAGAATAGAATAGCCCTTTATTGTCATTGTACATATACAATGAAATTATGGGAAACCAGGCAGACAGTGAGAGCACATGATTCAGGATTTTAGCACATTCTATGAAAAAAAACAAAAAGTCATTTGTGAGATTGACATTATATGAAGGGATGAAATCCCTCCCCTTACACGGAAATCCATGTAAAAGGCTTTTTTTTGCAAGAGTGGTGGCCTTTTACATCAAGCAGCTAGATAACAGCACTGCAGGACAGCTTCACAAACCAGTGATCAGAATAGCAAGGCCAGATTAGACTTAAGAAAAAGTCTCACGGTTTTGGACACATTGTAAAGAGGATGGTGGATACTATGATGAGTATAAGTGTAAAACATTGTCTGTAAAAGACATAAAGCAGTGTGATGGCATGGATATACACTCTCTCCAGTTCACTGGGTTACATGTAGATCATTAAAATCAGTTCAAACTGAGAAAAGCTCATATCACTCTTTTAGTTTTTCTTGTAACAGTTTAAGCTAATAACTTATAATACTTAAATAAATAAAGTTGTGCAGAAACCTTCATACTGTGGAAACATTATCTTCTACAGCATCTTCGATCCTGGGTTGGAAAAAGCAACCTGATTTAAGCTTTGTTAAAGACTGCAACCAAATGACTTTTACACAAACTGCCATAGACCCACCTGTAAATACAGTGTCAAAGCTGATACTACACTTTAAGCCCAAAGTTGAATGTGTTTTTGTAAATGGGTAAACAAAATGTCCCACATACATGGACCACGCTTTGTGTGCCAACACTGATCACATGCTTATGTGTTTGTCTCTAGCCAAGATACTGCTGTGGACATAGCCTTCATCCCGGGTAAAGGACTTTTTCCCAGCAGCACGTCTCTTCACAATGGGCTCCAGCGAGCCTCGGGCAACAGCTACAACTCTGGACGCTTAAAAGTCCACATCCGATCACCCGAGGTCAGCTCCACCACATACACGGCTCCTACAGGTCATTCATAGAAGAAGTGGCCTGTTATTCTCACAGCAAACCAGAAGTTGCAGAAGAAGCAGGATTTCCATGTAAAAGAAAGATTAGAGTTGTATCTTCTGTACCTATATCAGCACACCGACTGCAGGATAAAAGAAACAACCTGACTGAGCTCTGGGAAACAGAGTTACTGTTGCTATTTATCCTCATTCAAAAACACAAAAAACACCAGGTGTCCTTAAATGTGTCAGCTGGCTGAGTCGATTATGTTGTTTCAAAAATTGCAGGTTAAGACTACATTTATTCTTTGAGCTAAAGTCTCATATTGTACTAATGTCGTCAAAAAAATGCTAAAAGATCAACCAAATAACTTTGAAAAGGCCGCTGTACTTTGGTATAACTGAGGAATAAACATAGTCCAATAAACACACTGATTAATGAACCGTTATTGACTAAAGAGTAGTTGTACTTCTCACAGTATATAGCATGTTACATAAGGTGGGTCAACATCAGAGTGATTTTACAAAGTGAAACTGTAGCCAGTTCAAACTCTCTGACATGTAAAATGTTGAATTAAATAATTATGATTTTTAACCTCCTAGGGCCTGGCGTCCACATATGTGGACATCACATTTTGGGTTATTTAGACCAAAATACTCAATTTTGCTCGGCAAGGGCCTGATATCCACTTACGAGGACATTATGCTGCTGCTGTTCTATCACAATTGTAAACGAATATCCTCAGATGTGGCTCTGATTTTTCTTAAAAGCAAAAATAAGGTAAAAAAAAAATCTGGTAATTCTTTATTTTTACATTCATTGGGCCCCAATATGCCCAAATATCAAAGAGAAATTAAAATGCATGCCATGGAAGAGTTCGGGTCTTAGAAGGTTAAAGAAAGTTGGAAGAAATTCATTTCTTTACTTTCTCATTTATAGAGTTTGGTCCACAGTTACCACAAAGAACTTAGAACTGTTGTGTTTAATGTCAATATAGAGACAGCCAGAACTGGAGCTAGACCATTGCATCATCTAGCTTCAGTCCCAGTTCTGCTACTACCAGCTACTAAATCTAATAAATCTAATAAGGGAAAGACCATCTCTGAATCGAGGAGGGGGCCTAAGGGTCTATCTGTCACCATCTTACAATGATGTGATTGCAGCCATTCCCCAACTCTCTGTGAATGGTACTCATAGCCATTGATCAGCGGTCATGACAATTTACATATTAATGATCAAAGAACTGACCTCCCAGCCCATTGTTCCTTCAGTGGGCTGGTTTCAGTCATTATGCAAATGTACTGTTTATAAGATTGAAACCTGCAGTCAGCTGAGACTGAAGACGTCACCTGGATGAAAACGTTTCTCCCACTGAAAACACTACGTCTAGATGAACAGGATCCACCTTTGGGACAGCAAAATTATTAGCTACACTAATTAACTCATTGGTCATTAGTATTGGAATTCTATTTAACTATTTTCCTTGTGTTATTGGTGTAGATCTGTGCAGAGGAGCCAGCCCCACCTTCCTCACCTTCTCCTGACATCTGTCCTCCAGATATTCATGTTTCAGGTGAGACCTCTGTGTTTGCACTCAGACTACAGTGCTGTGGAAGAAAGCCAGAGATTAACATCAACTAATGATTCAATACATAGTTCATGAAAATGGTGACTGAAGAAGAAACACTCTACAGCCTACGTCTATTGCAGCATAACTAAGGGGGGATTCAGGGTCACCTGGTCCAGCCCTAACTATATGCTTTAGCAAAAAGGAAAGTTTGAAGCCTAATCTTGAAAGTAGAGATAGTGTCTGTCTCCTGAATCCAAACTGGAAGCTGGTTCCACAGAAGAGGGGCCTGAAAACTGAAGGCTCTGCCTCCCATTCTACTTTTAAACATTGTAAATATTGATCACTGAATAGTTTTGTGAGGATGAAAATAATGATGAAATGGTGACTCTTATTAGTGCACTTCAGTCACCACAGTTCAGCTGAACATCTGTCTCAGTCCTGAAGTAAAGCCAGAGAAGTGGAGACTGGATCTCAGATCAGTGAGGCTGTACTGATGCATGCGGTGGCTCAGCATGTTACATAGAAACATTTAGATAACACAGATAAGAGCAGTCTTTAAGTGAATGGACGTATTCACAGTTCATATTCATTTCAACATATTTTTGGCTCGCGTTATGTCTGCTGTTCTTTATTTCTGGTGCAACAAATGCCTCTCAGCAGAACATCACTTTGCCAAAGGAAACTGAAAACGATCTGAAGCAGTCCAGTTGTCGTCATACTGAAGGACTGCTTCAGACCAGCAGCTGTAGTGTCATAGGGCTGCCCGTGGCTCTCGGCCGAAAGCCACTGGACAGCCTTTCCCAATCCAATTGGCTGGGATTACCCAGCCAAGGTTATTTTCTAGGTACTCTAATCACTCCCTGCCAGCCTCTAAGCCAGTTGCTAGCTGTGACAGATGTCAGCACTTTGTAGTGAGGTGAGCGCACACACAAAATATAATGTTCCAGAATTATGATCCAGGTTAAATATGGTTCACTGTGACAACATTTCAGATAAATACTCCTCTTAAATCAGTTAATCTACAAAATGACTCCACACTATGAAGACAATGTAAAACAGTAACATGAGTGTAAACAGAGTTTAAAGTCAGAAGAGCAGAGCAGCCATTCAAATCTGGGACAGAAAAACGCATCATATGAATGGCTGGCTGCTCCCTCCCCTCGCGTCTACATAATCATCCACTTTTCTTCAGTTCCTCTCTTTTTAATCATCTGCTTTTCCCTGTACCATCGCTCACAGTCACAAAGACCTGCTTTAAACCAGCAACACCGACATCAGGTTGTCTATTCAACTCTGATATGACAGATTATATAACGATATTTCTCCTGCTGTTCCTCACTCCTAATTACACTTTCAGTATTCTGTTAAGAGGCCAGTGCAGGGGTCAGCAACCTTTAACACTCAAAGAGCCATTTGGACCCAGTTTCCACGGAAAAGCAAACACTGGGAGCCGCAAATACTTTCTGACATCTAAAATGAAGATAACACTGTTATTGTTTTTTACCTTTATGCTTTGTATAGACAACTAAGGTGTGTTGCTTATGAAATCCATGAAGTGCTACAGAGAAAATTACATTTTATTTATGTAATGAACACATTTTGAACTCTTAAAAAATACAGCAAAAAGGAGATGCACCCAGGTGAAGGTCTCTTTTAAATGAATTACAAAGCTGTAAAAAAGGACTGTAAGCTGTCGTCTGTGAGGCGTGAGCGTGTTTGTTGTTACCATAGTTCATGGAGGAGCTGCTCACATACGTATGTGGATGCATGAGGATCCATACTTGGCCTGCCTGGGTTGAAAGTCTCGACAAACGCACAGCATTTCGGCTGGTATGGTTTATGTGAATGTGATGCTTATTGTGAGAGATGAAAAATAATAACATCATTTTATTTTTATATTTCAAGATCACAATAATCTTCCAATTTAGAAGCACAAGTTAAAAACGAACTAACACAAATAAAATGCACTTCAGTTAAATACTTTGTTTTCCAAACCACGTGGAGCCGCAGAGCTAAAGAGCGCAGGTTGCCGACCCCTGAGCTAGTGCTTCCTTGTTCTATGTACCACACATCTGTGTGTATATACGCAGTCTACTTAAGAAAGGATTTTTTTAAACAACCCAAACTTCTGGTTTCGTTTTTTTTTCTTTTTAACCAAAGTCAGTCCTGATTTTCTTTTCTTCATTTTCTTTCTCCAGGTTCAACCAGCCAGAGATCCCCGACAGGAGCAAAACCTAAGATAACCCTGGACCCTTACATTCGCCTCAAATCAGACAAATTAGACTTGGTGAGTCCTGACCTGCTCGGGTAGGCTTCTTTAGACCTATGCTGCCTGATACACAGTTAAGTGGACACTCATACTAAAGAAATCACACAAATTATGTGAGAGCGATGACACATGTGAAGGCATATATGGTTGGTGGTTTAAAGGTGTGTGTTGTTGAAGTCAGAAACTGGATCGAGGTTTGTGGGTGATCCTGGTCGACAGTGTTGAATACCTACCAGCAGGTATGTGAGAAACGAACTAGGAAGTGATGTCAGCTTCCTGGAAAATTCCCTTATGAGTCTGATTTGCAGCAGCTCAGGGCTGAGGCGCTAAGCGTTGCATGCAGAAACACCACCGTGGCAGGATGTGGTGGACCGAGGTCGTTTTGGTCCTTTAAGCGATTGGCTGCTAGAGAGGCACTTTCTACGTGACCTGCCGCTTGTGGCGGAGTTGCCGTCTATCCCAATTGTTCCCCTCTGTGTAATACCACTAAGAGTTGATTGTGGAATATTTAGTAGTGAGGAAATGATTGCAGACAGCATCCTATCATGGAAGCACGCTGGGATTCACTGAGCTCCTGAGAGCGACCCGGGATTGTACACACCTGGGCCATGGAAGTGATCGGAGCACCTGGATAATGGATGATTTGGATGGATTAGTGTGCACTAATGTCCCCCACTTGCCCTCTGGGTGCTCTTTATCCTTCATGCTTGGGCCCTCTACCAAAGGCCTGAGAGTCTGCGCTCCTCCCTGCAGAGATGTCGTTCCTGGATCTGCTGGAGCCACTCGCCTAGTTTAAGAGTCACTGTTCCAAGTGCTCCGATTACCACAGGGACCACCGTTAACCACGGCGTCACCTTTCTCATCTTCTGCAGTTGCTCTCTCAGTGAGCTTCATTCTCTTCCTGATTTTGGTATTACTCAGTATAGCTCCCACCCACTCTGCACCTTTTCCTATGTTATTTCGCCTTTTCACTGCTTCTTCCTGCAGTGCACTCATCACTTTCAGTCATCAGAAACTAATAGAAACTGGCCTCAGCCCGAACCCAGATTTGACTTCAGATTGGACCCACAGTATCCCAGTACTCCCAGCCCATCATCTTTATGCATCCAGTTATTAATCTCCCTCTTACAGGCCTGCCCTGCCTGCTCCATTGCATGTGGATTATTTTTACCCTGTCAGCAGACTCTGTCCCTTCAGCTTTACGACTCTCTCTTTGTACAGTTGTTACTGTTATTTAGGTTGATTTTAATGTTGCCAACATTTTGCTTGGGCATGTTGATCCAGGGATTAGAGACACAGTGAGTTTAAACACTGGCAACATTCTGTCCTGATTTGTTGGCTCTGCAAAGGAAAACGAACAGGCAGTGTACAAAACTCTATTGAAAACAAAGGAATTACACACGTGTTGAACAGAGCAGTGTCTGCTTTATGACTGCGGTGAATTTGCTAATTAAAGAACTCTATAATCGATTTATGAAAAACACATTACTCAAAGTGTATGTAGGCAGTTTTTGTACTTTCTTCTACTGCATCCTGTCCTGGTAGCTCAGGTGTATCAGTATGTCTCCTAGACAAGCGTCCTCTTTGCAGATGCTTTGTGAAGTAACTTTAGGCTAATATTTGTAATGAAGTATAATTTTACTTGGAGAACAAAGTGTGATATGCAGAGTGCAGTTTGATGACAGCATACAATGCTTCATGCTTCATGCTCCTGTCTCTCTTAGGCCTTGTCCTTCCTTGGTTTGGATGTCACAGAAGAGAAGAAGAAGCAGCTGCGACAGAGTCTGACCACAGACCCACAAGGCACCGTGGCCTATGGAGGTGACGTGCATGCAAGCAGCACACGTACACTCACTGATATGAGCCGCACACATTTGTAGTCGTGTCAGCTGTTGGGTGGAAGATCTGTGCTGAGGTCCTGTCAAATCATGTGACAGCAGCATGTTTCTTATTGGTTGTGTCACTTGTGTAAAATGTCAGATTGTGTAACCAGCTGTGACTACATGTTTCCAGTCGTTTGGAGGGCCAGCGTTTACATCGTAGGGCTAAATTCACCTGCGTGTACCTGTTAATGCTCACTGACAGAAAGGACTGGATGATAAAGGGTGTGCATGATATTAAACTGTACAGGCAGCTTAGTCTTTAGACTGCAGGTCAAACATGAGATCCCATCCTGACACATGCCTCCATGCCACCAAGCTTCCAGGATGCTTTTCTGTGACAAAGCAGTTGCTGTAATGCTGATGACAGCCGCACAGTTTGAGTGTGTAGGGTCCTATAGGTGAGCTGAGGAACATGAATGCTGCAGTGATGAGTCACCTGACAGGCAGGTTGTTCAGCGTCTCGAAGAACAGATCAGGTCTGTTGCCTTTTCATGTAACTCTGTGATGCTGAGGAGCGTACGACAAAGTATACCTCAGAAATACCCCTGACTAAAGCTATGCAGCCACGTAGCATAGCAGTGCAGTGTCTGTCCTGTACAGTCAAAGAGAAGATGCAGAAAGTGCATAAATGTGTTTCTCCCGTGTCTGGCTTCTGGAGCGTTGACCCAGCGGAGGGTCTTTGGATATTTGGGCTCGCTGTTGTTGTCAGTGCTTTTCTTTTATGCTTTTGTGACACACACTAATCCCAAAATGTAAAGGAACACTTTTTAATCAGAGTATAGCATCAACAGTTTAACCTTTGGGATGTTGCAGTTGTTCATCAGTTTGAGCTGCTTTGGTATCATTGACATTAACAACAGGTCCACTAGAGGGGCGACAGTAGTGACTTTACAGATGAAGGTCGCTGACATTTTTCTCTCCTCATCTTTTCTGACTGTTTTTTCACTAGTGTCGCATTAGGCTAGACTCAGTGTTACTACTGGTAGCATGAGGGGATACGCCAAGATGGCACATCAATATGTGCTGTTTCCAGAACGTTTCTTAAGAGCGTTGAGGAGCTTCCAGGAGACAGGAGATTACTCGAGGAGAGCTGGACATGCATAAGCCATGAGCTAGACCAGCATCTGCTCCTTCGTGCAAGGAGGAACTGTCAGAGCTACAAAATAACCTGCAGCAGGCCGCTGGTGTGAATGCATCCTAAGGAGAGTGGTCAGAGGGCTGGATGTCCTCTAGTGGGTGCTGTGCACACTGTACGGTACCATGGAGCCCAACTGGCATTTATTCACAAAATACCAGGAGTGGCAGGTCCACCACTGGTGTCCCGTGGTTTTAACAGATGAGTGCAGGTTCACCCTGAGCCATGTGACAGCTGTGAAAGGGTCCAGAGCCTGTAACGCTGTTGGAGCCAGTCTATAATTTCATATACAGTAAGGTGTGTGTGTCTGTGTGTGTCTCTCTTTATGGGGACCCAAATGCGTGAATAGATAATTCTTGCTAGCTTGGGAGTTGTGGTGGGTGGAGCTAACCCTCTTCCCTACTTTGCATTTGGTTGTAGGAGCTGGAGTGGGCAAGTTAATTACTTGGAGGTCTTTCTTTCTTTTACCTTTCTTCGCTTTGACTCACAGATTTTTATAAGGTGTGTGTGTGTGTGTGTGTGTGTGTGTGTGTGTGTGTGTGTGTGTGTGTGTACACATGACCCTGATTGTTTGCTTTTCCTTGTTTTTCTTTTAAAACAATGAATCCCATCTGTTTTGGTGTGATGGCTCAGACTTTGTGGAGGCAACCCGGAACATCTTCCAGGAGAACCTGGAGGAGCTGGGCTTGGAGACGGGTCCCTTCACATTCTCCTACCATGAAGCAGCTAGTCTGATGGATACCTCAGCCTTCCACTCACCTGTAAGCAGCTCTCACAGCCGCTCATATAGACACAAAACAGCAGACTCTGTAATTAATTAAGACTCAAGAAGTTTATTGTATGATGTTACCCAGCCTGAAACCAAATACTGTTTCTCACCAGCCTCTACAGTGCAAGAAGCAATACAGTTTAAAAAGAATAAATACAGTTTAAAAGAATGACTTTTAAAAAAGAGCAGCAAAAAAGGCATAAATAGCATAAAATCTAAGCTTTAAAACAAACTCCAGTCACAATTAATCTAATATTTTAAAATTTCCACCCAGAAATGAAGGGCTAACTGTGTGTGTGTGTGTGTGTGTGTGTGTGTGTGTGTGTGTGTGTGTGTGTGTGTGTGTGTGTGTGTGTGTGCGCGTGCAGACATATGAATCAGAGTGCAGCTACAGCAGTGAGGAGATGGAGCAGTTTCAGACTGAGGTGAAGCAGCTGCAGACGCAGATGAAACAGCTCAAGGTGAAAACACACCTTTGTTTGTCCCTCTTTGGTCAGTGGTGAGGACTTCCAGCTGTTATGTTTTCTCTTAGTATCTTTACTTTTACTTTTCTTTGACTGTGTCTCCCTCTGTCCCACAGTGTCTTTTATTATGTCTACTGTCTTGTTTCGTATCTGTCCTGTGGTCTTTACTAAGAATGAAGTCCAACACACTCAGGCTAATTTACCTTAGCTGGCTCGACAAACCCGAAGCCCCAGTTAGAGATGATGAGTATCATGATGATGGTCAGGAGCTGTCTCTGTTAAACTGGGCGTCACACTCTGAGCACACTCACATAAAATGATGCCCATGATCGGCACCTACACGTGTCGCCGTGTATCGATAAAATGGTGACAAAATGATTCAAATTTACAGTGAAATGTATCACTGTGAGTAAGAGCACAGACGATTGCTGCATTGTCCTGGTGGTTTTCTGGCACAGAGCTGTAACAAACATTTTAACTCCAGTGGTGTCGTGGCTGAGTGCGCTCTCAGTGCTCCTGTTTATTATGGCTGCACATTACAGCTCCTTGGAGGACAGGACCAGCTTCACCCCGATCAGATCTGCACACTGTTAGACCTCTGCCTCACCACTACATATTTCAAGTACAACGAAGGCTTTTACAGACAAAAACATGGCTGTGCCATGGGCTCCCCCGTGTCACCTATTGCAGCAACCTTTACATGGAGGAAGTGGAAAGGAAGGCTCTTGGCTCTTTCAAAGGAAGAGTACCCAGCCACTGGTACAGATATGTGGACAACACCTGGGTCAAAATCAAGACACAAGAAGTGGAATCCTTCACTGCGCACATTAACGCTGTGGATAAAAACATCAAGTTCACCAGGGAAGACACAAAGGACGACTGTTTGCCTTTCCTGGACTGCGCCGTGCACATTGAAGAGAACGGCAAACTCAACATCGAAGTTTACCGGAAGCCCACACACACGGACCAGTACCTCCTCTTTGACTCCCATCACCCTCTGGAACACAAACTTGGGGTAATTAGGACCCTACACCACCGGGCAGAACGTGTTCCCTCTAAGCCTGAAGGGAAAAGAAGGAACACACACATGTAAAGGAAGCACTCAAAATGTGCGGCTATCCTAAATGGGCGTTTTTAAAGTCAGCAAAGAGGCACAGAAAAGAAGATCAGACACCAGCGAGGGAGGATAAGAAGGACAGACGCAGCAACATTGTCATCCCCTATGTAGCCGGTGTATCAGAGAAACTCAGGAGAGTTTTCTCCAAGCATGACATCCCGGTGTATTTCAGACCCAGCAACACACTCAGACACAAACTGGTTCACCCGAAAGACAAAACGCCAAGACACAGACTTAACAATGTGGTGTTTGCTGTACAGTGCAGCGAGGAATGCTCAGACCTCTACATTGGAGAGACCAAACAGCCACTTCACAAGCGCATGGCACAACACAGAAGAGCCACCTCCACAGGACAAGACTCAGCAGTTCATCTGCATCTAAAGGTCAAAGGTCACTCTTTCGAGGATGCCAATGTTCACATTTTGGACAGAGAGGACAGATGGTTTGAAAGAGGAGTGAAAGAAGCCATCTATGTCCACTGTGAGCGACCATCTTTGAACAGAGGCGGGGTTTACGACACCAACTCTCTGCCATCTATAATCCAGTTTTGAGATCCTCCCCAGACGCCTTAACGCCCACTCACATCCTGGGACATCTGATCTCAGGAATTCACATGATAAGGTGGGGCCAGGTTTCACAATGAACACACCCGAAACTCTGGCTGATTGGGACCCACGCCCAGTTTCCCACCTTGGCTCAGGCGATTAGAGGATCATCAGGGGGTCCTTTTGTCCCTCTGTGGGGGGAAACTCCCACTAGGTTTATATCTGGGACTCTCCACCATTTGACCTTAGAACTGAAGAAGCTTCTCGGATGAGAGGTGAAACGTCTTCAAGCAACTTAAAGAAGTCCAGACGCTTTTCTTTCCAAGCTCCTTAAATATTCAGAATATTACAGAGATTAACTATATATGATGTAAACTGTAAAACTTTGTTAATTTCACTATAGAGGATGTACCCTACAATAATATAAAACTCCAACAGTCAAATAATACCATATTTCTAAGCTTTTCAGGGCCGAGTACAATAACCTCAGTTTGATCTGGATTAAGAAGCAGAAAGTTAGCGGCCATCCAGGTCTTTATGTCTTTAAGACATTCCTGCAGTTTAACTCATTGGTGTGTGTTATCTGGCTTCATGCACAGATAGAGCTGGGTGTCATCAGCATAGCAGTGTAAATGCAAGCTTGTATAATGTAACAGAACTGGCACTAGCATTTCAGCTGCATTAGTCACAGAGTTAGAACGATGGAAAAAATGGATTTTATTCTGAGCTGATAATAAATGAGTGACATAATTACTGTCGTTGTTCTTATATACTGATGACAGAATGACTGTAAAAGCACTCAGGTTAACTGTTTCTAAAAATCTGCAGTTGAATTCGCTCCGTGCTCTGACAGCCACTTTGGAGAATAAACAGGATGGGAGGAGTCGGAGGAAAGTTCAGGAAACACGAGTTTTCCTCGTCTCAGAGTTGACTCGGCATGGCTAGCTAAACCTGCTTCCTTCAACAGTGCCCAGAAATATGGTTTAATAGGCACATTTACACTCTTAGTCTCAGTCATCTCTTTGGATCATAGACTAGGGCTGGAGCGGGTGTTTTGGTGGCATTTCTTTGGCTACCAAGTGAAGTAGTGAGAATACGTTTTGCAGTTTAAAACTAAACACATAGAATCCTGTTTCCACACTTAGCCAACAAACACACACTCAGTGGGAAAACCACAGACGAAGCCCAACGTCCCAACCTCACCAAGATTTAGCTGCTTTTTCTCCTCACAGTTGTGTGTCTGTCCTCTGAATGGAAAGGTGGGGTCTTTAACAGTCATACAGGAAGCTGCCACTTCATCTGCTGCCTCTCTTGGCAGGTGATGCTGAAGGACATGGAACACAGCAAGAAAACCCTCGAGGAGGAGTTGCAGAAGACCTCAGAGGTCAGAGGCCAGCCTGCAGCCTGTGGAGACACGCAGTCTCAAGTTACATCTTTATAACTGTGGGATATGAGCGTGGGGTCAAAGTTGAATGGAAATTATTTTTGTAGTGAAACTAATCAAACTGAGTCTGCTGATAATGCCGGCTGTTTTTTAGTTGATGAATGATTAGAAATGGTGTTGTTGTGCAGCTTCTCGATGTCGTAGGACAGTTTAAGTATGAGAACCAAGAATGTAAAGATTTCTCAGCTGGTAAAATGAAATAGCTAATAACATATTCATATGATCATCCTGTTGTATTTAGCAATGTAAAATACGTCTCACTGGCAGCTGAATCATCTGAAAACATGGACGAAGACTGAAGGCAGCGAGTGAATCCTTCTGTCATTTCTCCTAGAAAGCCTGTCTGACTGTAGAGGAGAACACTCGCCTGAAGAGTCGTCTGCAGGCGTCTGAGGCGGTGCATCGGCAGGCCGGCAGTGCTGAGCAGGACTATGAAGAAGTCATCCAGCTGCTGGAGGCTGAGATCAGAGACCTGAAGAGCCAGCTGGCCACCAAGAAGCAAAGACGGGGAGCAGAGTCCATGCAGGTACAATGATGTCAGAGTCGTGGCCCACAGCCTTGTTCAGGGCCACTGACAGGAGAGCAAGAAAACCTCATTTCAGCCTTGAAATTTGGGGAAACATCTGTCTGAACATCTGTCTGTATTTTTAAATGCATCTTCACAGTACTCTACATCTTACACATCCAATATGTTCAGGCATTAGGTCAAAGGTCATTGTACTGTATAGTGATACATGATGCACTCATGCACCCAAAGAGTTGTCTACGTGACACACGTACACAAGCTGAGTGTGTTGGTGTGTTTGTCAGGAGGAGGTGGGCGAGCTGAAGAGGAGGCTGACGACTATCGACTGCCAGCTGAAGAAGTCCGAGCTGAGCAGGAAAACGCTGGAGATCTCCAACAAGAAACTGCTAGGCTTTGCTCAGGTACTGGTGTTCCTTTGGATGCACACAGAGCTGTGAACAGGCAGGAAGCAGACTGAGTCCACTCTGTATACCAGAGTGTTGTATTGGTCTCACAGCTAAACCTCGGTCCGAACTGGGACAGGACAGCGATCCGAAGCTGTTAACATTGCTTCTTCTTCTCAAAGTGTTATCATAGCTTTCTACAGTTGTTTTGCACAACACACTCAATTCAGCCTTAAGTATTAATAAAAATACAAATTCTACAGAGTGTTAATGTGGGGAATATAATCTTATACTGATTGATAAGAACTCAGTTATCAAAGCTGAAGACTGTGTATCTCTAAAATAGAAGCTTTTAACAGGTTCAGGAAAAAGTGCATAAAAATATATGAATAAAAACTGAAACAGCTGAATGAAAGGCTTGAGCGCTGCGTGACGTGGTTAACTGTCAGCATCTACAAAGAGATTCAATATCGTTGAAAAGTGAAGGTGGTGAAGCAGCAAAACAGCTCGCTACACAACTGTAGTCACTGAAGCAGGTGACAGTGTAATCACCACATTCTCGCTGGTTATTTTTCCAACAACTTGTTATAAGAGATGCACACACTTTGATGGAGAGGGGAGCTGACGTCCCCTCTCCATCAAAGCCTTTCTTTGCTAATGTGCTAAAGCTGTTAAATATCCCACGTTAGGGGGAAGACGATCAATAACTGAGCATCCACACAAAACTGCAGAATGGTCTCAGACGTCGGTTCTTCTGATTGTCAAACAAACACACACGTTAGCTTCCGTGATAATAAGGATGCAGTTTGTGCCATCTTTCCCTTTAGTTGTGGTTAATCAACAAGAGTGATGTGCTCGCCACCTGTTTGTATTTCCTGGTCTTCCCTGCAGACACACACACACACAGACTGAAGGTTGTTTGGCAAAAATGCTATTAGTAACTGAGTGCCAGTACAGAAATGATGTCGTCATTCAAACTTATTAACAGCTCAGTGTTTCCCCCAGGACAACATTCAAGTGTAAATGTCAGAGAAAAACACATTATGGGACCCATGTCAGCCACTGTGCATGTGATGGTTTATTTTGCAGTTAAGACTATTTAAGCGAACCTGTAGATTTATTAGATGAAGTAGGAAAATGCATAGAGCTGTACATAACTGTTGCATTATTTGACCAAAGGCTTGAGCGTTTCCTTCCATGGTGTGCGGCAGATGATGTGGAAGCTGCATGTGCAGCTCTGAGATTTCCAGATCTGGTCTTTAAATCTAGTGACAGGAAAATAAGCTGATGGAGTCAGTCTGCCCCCAGTGATGGAAGTGTGCTACAGCTCTGTCCACAGCCATAAACCAGCTGCTGCACAGGCTGTTCCACCAACATCTGTCCTAGGAGAATTGGCTGTGGGTGGATGTTTCCTCATATCCGTCAGTGATGGTGGAAGGATGCAAGGTGCAGGAACCAGTCAGACACAGGGGTGTGCACAAAGCCATCAGCATAGAAACCAGTTTGAAAAACACAACGAGGGGAAGGTGCAGCCTGTGGCTGATAACACTAATAACTGACGAGGTCCAGCAATCAAGCTCTTCTCTCTGGTTCGCTTCATCCTGACAGCACAGAGAGACCCGGTGTGTGTTACTGCTGCCAGCGCTCGGCCTTACAGCTGTCACATTATCTCTCTTTACAGAACGTCCACAAAGTGCTGACCACGCCCAGCCTATTTGGAGAAGGGGGGTAAGAGAGCGCGACCTTCACCTTACAAGCGCCTTACAGCTTTGCAGTCGAGTTCCTGCTCCAACTGTCCTTCTGCTTGTGTGTCTGTCTATATCAGGAGTAACAGGTCATCTCCTGCCACGGAAAGCCCCGACATCCCATCACCAATTCCTGACCCAGCCTTCCAGCTGGCTGTGGAAGCCAAAGAGCTGGTGGAGGGGGTGTGTACTCTCACAACTGATAAAGGTACAGAGCTCACTAACCCAGAATAAAAAGCCTGAACACTGTGTGCATACAGTACGTGGAAACACCATGTTTGGAAGGAAGGACAAAGGTTCAAACTGCAAACACTTTCAGATAATGTGATGAAAATTAGTTTTCTTTTGCCACGGCTTAAGAATTGATGAACTGATTATGAGCCATCCTTTAGCAAGAACTCTGCTATAATGGCGTCAGTATAAAATATATATACAAAGTCTTTAGTGCCAAATTACTCCACACGCTTCACCTCATACAGTATAACAGACGTGGATGTAACCTGCAGCCTCAAGGCAGTGACATATTAAAGCAGCCAGTGTGCAACCACTGCTGTCCATCGTTCTGCAGCAGATCTGAAGTGGAGCAATGAAACATGGATAATATCTCATCCTTACTCATCAGGCCGATCCGCTGAAGTTCCTTTTTCACAAAGGTAGAGAAAGCAGGGTCCCAGGACATAAAGTGGTGACGATGATTAAAAGCTGTTTCTTTAGAAGCTGAAACTGTTCTGGCTTCATGTTCAGTTCTTTTTAAATACAGCTGAGATTGAAATCCAAGCTGTGACCAAAGCAACACTGTTTCAAATGAGTTACTTTGTGTGTAAGTTTTCAAAAACACGGCTTTGAGGCTTACCTGTGACAGAAGCATCGCAGCACGGGTCAAAGGGAAGCAACAGCTTGTGATTCAGACCTGCAGTGACAGTGTGAGCCACTAGCTGCTGCCCTCACTGCTCACAGCTGAAACAAAGACCTGGTATTTTCCCTACCTCTATTTGTGTTTGCTTTATCCAAAGGGTTGTCTTTCCCGCTCGCAGCAGGCACCACTGCCTCCTATTACCATACTGCTATAGACTCAAGTCTTTCTGTCCACCTCTTCTACAGAACCGGTGAGTGCAGATGCAGCTTCAGCTCCAGATGTCAGTCCTCACCATGTGTGAACAGCACCAAGCCAAAGAGGACTGAGTCCAGACCTGGGCCGGGCAGAGGACCCCCAACGAGCAGCTGACCTCGCCATGCACTTCACCACAGTCCGCAGCAAACACACCATCCTACGACAGGACACGACGACAGCGACAGTTAAACCCTCACTGGGACAGACTGACCACGTTTTAATGCCAAAGCCTGTTTGTGCACATGAAATTAGTGTATTCCCTCCAGTTACTCCAAATGCTCCTCACAGGGCTCAGCAGTGGGATCTGCTGATTCGGTCTCATCCTGTCAGCAGCACATCACATGTACTGAAGTCTCTGTGAGAAGTGCTGCTGCAATTCTCTAGTGTGTTACTCTTACAGCAGGTGGTACAGGTGGAGCTGCATGACCAAGTCCTCCACACACTCCCACAGTGTCACTGCTGTAAACCTTGTTAATACTCTTGCCAACCTCTTTTCTATCCTCACAAACACAAACTCATCTCCACTCCATAAAAGGAGGACTTGTTACTTGGAAAGCTGATGTGTACAGCGTGTCCCCCTGTGTCAGAAACTCCATGACAAATTAGCTCGTCTGCTCTAACACAACATCTGCCATGCTTCCTTCCCTCGCGCCCTTACTCACACTGTCATGGAAGACAAGAAATGAAGGTTTGAAGGTCCAGCGTGGATCATCTTCATCTCATTGCCTGGTTCATGTTGCTGTGTCTCCTGCGTTCAGGAGTAGTGTACCTGTTGCCGTAGCTCCAGCTGTGTAAAACTGTGTTTGGTATTCTGTGTAGGCAGACCTCAGTCTTAGGCTACATGTTGAACATAGATTTGATTTCTACAGACATCTACAACTGCAGTGACAATAATGACATGTCCTTCAACCAGATTGCATCTTTGGTGTGGCCTCATTCTTTCTGTTACTGTTTTATATTAAAGGAATAACTGATGACCGGACTGGTGTCGAGTTCGACTTTTGTTCAGCATCCAGCAAACAGTGCTGCTCACAGGGGGCGATTTCACCACAACTGCTTCCCACAGAAGCCCCTCAAAAAGCAGGAAACCAGAGCTGCTCACAGTTTGTGCACGAGGGTGTTCAGGAAGCGGATACTGACTAATGACGTGACGTTCTAGGGTCATGTGTGGAAATCGTGGTTGCAAATGAGGGGGCTGTCTTGATCTCTGGCTCCTCCTGCAGGCATTTCTAGTTATATTGATGAGTTACCCCTGGGAAGATAAACTAAACACAAACACACAGCACTGTGCTTTCAGTGTGAATCATTTACTTTCATCAATCAACAAAATGCAGTGAATGAACCAAAGAAATCGCATCAGTGTTTGGTGCAACCACCCTTTGCCTTCTTCTAGGTCCACGTGCACAGTTTTTACTCGGCGGGTAGTTTGCTCCAAACATCTCGGAGAACTAAGCACAGATCTTCTTTTGCACAGTGCTGTATGTGCGGATGTTAAGTTAAAAGTACTTGAGCATAGGGGAAAAAGTGTTTATATGAATGAGGCTAGTTGTAAAAAAGTACTCAGAGAAGTCAAACTGAGTGGAAAGGGAGTCCATCTACCATTTAAACCCTCACAGGAAGTCACTGTGGGGCACTTACACAGCACCAGAGACATGTGAGGCAATGACCCAGTGTGTGTGGTTTTGCTTCTTTACTGTCATGTGCAGGCAGGAAAAGGACCCAAAAATACACAGAGGGAGCAATCAGGGAATGGGAAACAGGAGGGAAACACAGCTGGGGCAAATCAGGGCTGACGAGACAAAGGAAGCAAAACCAGACGCATTAACATCAGACACGGACTTTCAAAGTAAAACAGGAAACACAGACTGAACTTACAGACACACAAGCAGGCACTGCAACAGAGGGAACAGAGACGTGGGACCAGGGCGGACACAGACTCTGACTGGACACAGAATAGAGGGAGTATGGAAACCAGAACCTGAGAACAACATAAACACCAAGAAGAGCTGGGGAAAAATAGAAATGCAAAACAGAAACCAGAACCTTCACAAAAATAAACCAAGAGAACACAAATAAAGGGTACAAAACAGAAACCACTGAGTCAACGACCCAGGAACCCTAACATTTACATATTCACAGTGGATTTCACAACAAACAAGATGCGACTGAAAGTAATCAGGACAGGTCCCCACCTTATTCCATGACAACCTGAGCCCCATAAAAACAGTGAGTGCTCATGTTCATATCACTGATTCATTGATACAATTCGCTGTATCAGGGTGTTGTCCTTCAGAAGAGCCCACTGCCATCAGTATAGAAATCTTCCTTCTAGGGATGTTGCTAGGATCAATATTGGGCCTTAACCATGAAATCTTTGGACTGTTCACTGAAGTTGTTTATTGTTGTTATAGTAAAGGATTAGCTCAAGAACAGTGCATAGAGAGCTTCGTGGAATGGGTTTCCATTGCCGAGTTGCTGCATCCACGACTTACATCACCCAGCGTACTGCAAAGTGTGTGTGCTGTAAAGCACCGCCCCGCTGCATTATACAGCAGTGCAGACGTGCTCTCTGCAGTGACCGGTCTGGGTTTGGTGGTTACCAGGAGACTGTGCTTATCGGACTGCATTGTGCGAACTGTTAACTTTGGTGAATGAGGAATTCTGATGTGATGTTTTGTTTCAGGCGTGGGCTCGCCCCCTTAGTTTCAGTGAAAGGAACTCTTCAGCATGCCAAGACATTTTGGACAATTTCATGCTCATGATTTGTGGGAACAGTTTGGGAATCGCTCCTTCCTGCTACAACATAACTACACACAAGTGCACAAAGCACTTCTATTAAGACATCAATGAGTGAGTTCGGACATGACCGGCTCTCACAGAGTCCTGACAGAACACCTTTGGGATCATTTAGTGCTAAATAGGCCTCCTCATCTAACATCAGAGTCTGACCTCACACATGTGCTTCTGGGAAAAAGATCAGAAACACACACACAAACACACTCCTAAATCTTGTGGAAAGTCTTCCAATAAGAGTTGAAGCTGGTATAGCTGCAAAGGTTGGGCCAACGTCCTGTTAAACCCTGATGTCACTCAGGTTTGTGTGTGTGAAGGAAGAAGAGCGAACACTTTTGGCATTGTAGTCAGTGTTGGGAAGGTTACTTTTAAAATGTATTCCACTACAGATTACAGATTACATGCCCCAAAATGTATTCTGTAACATATTCCGTTACGTTACTCAATGAGAGTAACGTATTCTGAATACTTTGGATTACTTAATATATTATCATGCTTTTTACAGCTACATGAATGTACTATTCATGTGATTTATTACTGTTACTGAAGGTCTGCGGCTCCGAACCGTAGTAAAGGGGCCTCTGACTAATACGTCGGGTTCGTGTCGGGCTCGTAGCAGAAAACTAGCTTTACTTTGTTGTGTGGGTCAAGTTTGCAGCGAGAGACGGAGAGAGGCGTTGAAAGGCTGCTGCAACGGGACTTATTGTTTCAGAGGAAAACAGGAACACGGTGTACAGTCGAGTCTTAATAGTGTACTTACTCTTCTTGGCTGCAGTGGTTATTATTATATTTACATGCTTCCAGCTCCCGTTTCTGCTCGATGACAGCTCGTACTTTTCCTTTTTCTCCCTCCCGCGCTCACTGACACATCACGGGTATGACAGTCCATCCTCCCTACAGCACGGACTACACTGCCCATCAGGCTACATGCTTTAGGGCGATGCCTGTAACACTCTGCCTATTAGCTCAGCACAACAACATCAACAACAACAAAAAGGCGCTCTCTCACCCAGGAAACACACAGTCAGAGAGGCGGCACCCTGTAACCATGGCAACTGTAACGCTGCCGCCTGGAACAACAGAACGTGTGACAGGTTGAAGGACTACTGCATATAAAACTGTTCAGTTAATACTAATTCATATCAGTTGATATAAGGACGAAAATAATGTAAATATGGTAAGAGAATGGTTAAGAGTTTATTATTTTTTATTATTAACACTGATTATAGTGTACCTGCAAATACAGTATAGAAGGCACAATCAAACTTTCTACAATTTCAGTGAATGTGAAAGTGAATATTGCGTGAGAGCACCTTTATTCTTCAGCACAGTCTGAACTCTCTGAGGCAGCTTTGTCATTCAAGTATCTTCAGGAACAGTTCTCCAGACTTCTCGAAGGACATTCAAAGCTCTTCTTTGGATGTTTCTGCTTTTAGTTCTGTTCTCTATCAAGATGATCCCAGACTGCTTTAATAGTGTTGAGGTCTGGGGCCCGTTCTTCGTACGTCGCTTACTACATCCAAGATCAAATCATCGCGCTAACTGTGAGCTCGCTAATCCGGTTCCCCGAACACACCTGCTGTTGACGATTACTACAGCTGGATGAAGTAATGTGAGATCACTGGGTGCCGTAAAAGGGGCTACGCATCGATAGCAGAAACAGTGATCGGCAAGCCTCTGATTGGTCGGCGAAAATGTCGAAGGAGCGCGCACAGTACTTCACCGCAGCGGAGCAAGAACTCCTGATTGAGGGATTTCAGGAGTACCAGAGTGAAATTAAAACGCAAGGTAACAGTGCGAAGGCTGCAAAAGCAAGGAGAGAGGGCTGGCAGAAAGTTGCTGACAAATTAAACGCGTAAGTAATGCAACATATTACATGGCACCATACCATATCATATTTTATCATATCAAATCATACCACATGATATCCTCTTACACATTAGAGCCACAACCGGACCCACCAGAACATGGGAACAAGTAAGAGTGAAATACAAGAACATACTACAGAATGGTAATATCCAACACTCATATTGCTGTCAGTCACTTGAAAAGACACCCCTGAAACAATCCCTGTGTTTGTGTATAACAGCAACCAAGAAAAGGGCAGAGCAACAAAAGACAGGTGGTGGTCCTGCACCCCCTCGTCACACCCCAGCAGAGGAGCTGGCCCTAAGGTTGAATGCCACCAGACCCATTGTTGAGGGCATCCCTGGGGGCAGCTCTTCCGGAGACCAGAAGCCGGGGTGCAGTAGCAGCAGCACCTACATAACTGGTGAATGGGCTCATGATTCCATGTGCACAATGTCAAATATGTGGTTGTTGCCTAAATGAAAATGCTATTCGAACTGTGACATTCATTCATTGGCACTGTGGGTTTTCTCTGTGTGTAGTGTTACATGACACACCATCACTTTTACCTGTTCCCATGGAAGGGGTGACTGGAACATGCACAGTAAGTTGGGAGATATACATATATCTGTCCCCACCCAATTGTACAGACCTATAGGCTGTACCACACCCCTTAGTAACACCATTGTGTTACCATTGCACAGGACAGTGACGCAACCCTGTCAGATGGCTGTGGTGTGGCGGAAGACCCTGTGAGTACATGCATGAATTGGCCTGAAATACCATCTACTTGTGTACTGCCATGTGTGTCTGACTGCAGTATGATTTGCAGGCCAAGAGGCCGGCAGAGAGGCCTGCTGATGCAGAGGTGGGCAGTGTTGTGATCAATTATACTGCCTATATGACATGTATTCCCCGTTAAATGTTGTCACCACAATTGACACAGGGTGACATACGTCTGCTCTACAAGAGAAGTCTCCAGCAAAAAATGGAGTATACTGAGCTGAAGAAACAAAAGCTCCTAGGTGAGATCGAACTACAAGCCCTAATGAGGCATAAACTACAATTGGAAATCGAGGTGCTTCAAAAGGAACTCCAGAGTAAGTAGGAATACATGTTCATACGGAGCACTATTGCTGACCCTGCGTGACGCAGTATACATGCTCTGTTTTCCCAGGCAACTGATGACTGGCCTGTGTGTGGTGGGACAGACAACGATGCTCAAATAAACGTCAATAGAAAATGTGTCATGTCATGTTTTTATTATGCGAAATTGTGTTGCACAATCCTGTCCCGTGCAGCTCTGCCACTAGGTTGGTCCAGGTGCACTGGCTGGAGGTC